TTCTTTATGTCAGATATAATCAGCAAAAAATTAATAAATAAACGAGTGCTTATGGATATACATGCTATAAACAATACATTCAAGCAATTCTCCAGGGGAGTGAGACATGGGCACTCTGAACAAAATAAAAGAAGCACTCATCTGTTCAACTACTGCATCTACCTAACAGATCCATTTGAAAGCATAGAAGATGACTGTCCATTTCTACTCATCGGATATAATCAATAGGATTTATAAATACACTCAATACTTTTGAATGGGCATGATATCGATGATTCAATCAAGTAATCCATTAGAATGTATAATAGACCAACAAGGACCTGTGAGTTGCAAAATACCAAAAACTTATCACAAAATGCGGTTAAAACATTGCTATCAAGTAAACGAGATCTATAAACCATTGCCAAATTGCAAATAAATGCAAATTTGCTAAAACCAATAGCAGATTGCTCAAATCTCATTCGCGCTTCATACAAGCAGACCAAGGTAAACATAAAATTCTTCAAATGGCGTCTCTACAGGGTGTCTGTCATAGCATGCAGAAAAGTGCAGCAACAGACTTGTTCCTTTAATATCAAGTTCTACACCCTAGACAGTAACACACCAAGATCCAAAATAAAAATCAAACCCCAACAAATAGCATACAACAGCACAAGGGCCTAATCGGCACATGGGCAGTTTCATAAACAAATTCATCACAATCACAAGATTGTGTTGTCCGGAAGACCGACACCACAGACAACATGACCACATAACTGACTAAAGTTGCATGCACGCACGCGTGTGCATGCATGATGGTAAATGTTTGCTGCCGGCTGACCGGCCGAGCGTCGCGCCGGTGGTGTGCGCAACGTACGATCCACATGCTCCTGTTGCACCCACGACGCACATGCTGATGGGCCCCGACCGCTTTTTTATTTATTTTGAGCTGCCCGATCGCTTTTCTTCCCCCACTTACCTCTATCCCAGCCTTGTCTACTAGTTTTCCACTTGCGTTTTATTCTGTCGTCTTTCGTCGCAATTGTCATGGACAGCTCGTGGGAGCTCCAACCCATGACATAGAGCTACAACCGGGCGAATTGTTTTATATGGGACAGGCGTAATTTTTGCTGCGACTGACAACGGCAATGTGTGTTTTTTCTCAATAATGACGAGTCGTTCTGCTGGGGCTGGTGTGATTATTTTGTGCCGCTGAACATTTTTTTGCTACAAGCGGCGAGTTGTCTTGCTTGGACAATTGAGACTTTTTGCTGCGTCTTGACGATGGCAAGCCATTTTTAGCAGGCTATCATATTTACCGGGACCAGCGGCCGGCGAGATTTTTTGCTGTGACACAGCGATGGCAAGCCATTTTTTTGTTGCAACCGGCAATTATTTTTGCTGGGACCGGTGAGAATTTTTGTTGCGACCGGCGACTGGCGAGGATTTTGCTGTGACCCGGCAAGCCATTTTTTGCTACAACCGGCGATCATTTTTGCTGGGACCGGCGATATTTCTTGTTGCGACCAACAATCGGTGAGAATTTTTGCTGCGACCCGGCGATGGGAAGCCATTTTTTTGCTGCAACCAGCGATCATTTTTGCTAGGACCGACATTAATTTTTGTTGCGACCAGCAACCAACGAGAATTATTGCTGCGACTCGTCGATGGCAAGCCATTTTTTTTGCTGCAACCGGCGATCATTTTTCTGGGACTAGCAAGAATTTTGTTGCAGCCGGTGACCAACAAGAATTTTGGCTGCGACCCGGCGATGGGAAGCAATTTTTTGTGCTCTTGGAACCGTGGTCATTTTTGCTAGGACCAACGAATTTTTTTATTGCCCCAGCCTGCAAGATATTTTTTGCTGAGATTTACAATTTCTTTTGTTTGCTGGGATAGGGGAAATGATTTGCTAGAACTGGTGAGACGCTGCAACCGGCAGTACGATTTACTGGGACTAGCACATGCCATGCTACAACGACTTTTTGCGTGAGGAAACGATGGCGGAGTTGCGACGGTGATGTAGTGCGGCGGAGTTGCGACGGTGGATGGAGTATTCATGGGAGCTGGGGTATCGCTAGTCGACGAGCAAAGCATCGGGGCATGGTGCCGGCAGCTCGTTTCATTCACGGGCGGCCGGACGACGGAGTGCTTGCGAGGCGACAACAGCGAGTTGCAACGAAGATGGATGGCAACCACGGCAAGCTGTGGCAGTGGACGGGGCACTCACAGAAGCTGGGCGTCGCGGCGAAAGCTACGGCGCATGGGAACTACTGGAGGCGGACAACTGGGCTCAGTTTTGCACGCGATTTCAGCAGTTTCAGTTTTGCATGACACAACGTCCATAAAGAGCTAGATCCAACATTAAGGGTGGGCGAATCCAATGGACGTCAGTGGACCGGCGGAGCGACTTAGCCGGTCGACCGGCCCAGAGTAGCACCCATGCATGATTCGGTGAGTGCAAAGGAAAAGTCGTTCCAGGCTGCACTAGCACCGCTCCTCTGACACGCGCTCGGACGGACGCTACTGGTTCTTTCCGCGCCGGGCGGCCACGCCAGCCGTCGTGGTTTACCCCCACAACATGGGTCCTTCTACAGCATTTCTCCTTTCTTGCGGGTTTTCATTCGCAATAAAACTTATTTTTAATTGCTGCAGGTGTTTGGAACGTGTACACAACCTTAAAGCATACTTCTCTAAAAAAAACCTTAAAGCATACTATATCTTTGATGACGTGCGTTGCCGCGCCCTTTTATTTTGCGATAGAATATAGAAATTTTGATAAATAATATACGTAAATAAATTGTCGAAATCAGGATATAATTTTTTTCTTAAATTAGTTGAAAAGCATTGCACTACTCAAATGTACCAAGTTACAAACAATATTAGCCTACCGAACTAGACAGCCTACCGAAGCAAAGAGCGAGGCTAGTTCACGCAGTATGCTTACTAGTATTTTGGGAGGTATGGAAACACCGAAATGGTGTTGTGTTCGATGGCAAGGCCCCTTGTTTACGGGAGTTGATACGGAAGATTGCTAGCGAATACGCACTATGGAGGGATGAGGGACTGCTGCGAGGCGATGAGGAGACGCACCGAGGCATGGAGGTAGCATTAGGATGGACACACAGTGAGTAGTCGCTTAGGCATGTGGGTGGAGAAAGGTGTGGACGTGTTGTAACATACCTTGTGACACTGCAGTGGGGCTCTTTCCCCCTTCCCTTCTTTAATAGATGATACGCACACTCGTGCGTATTCGAGAAAAAAACAAACAATATTAGCAATCAACCAAGCAATATCTGACATGGTAACACTAAGTAGTTATACCCTAGTAGTATGACATCTCGGGACGCTGGTCGGGCGCGAACATGATACGAGGATGCCATCAGTTGCGGCGGGAAGCTTCGATTGGATGGTTTGCAGCTCGCCTGAGCTGACCGGCGGCCATGTAAGGTGGTGCCAATTGGCCAACCTGAGGGCGCACCGGTTTGAGAAGGGGAGGAGGGAGTTGGAGGCGGCGGATTCCACGTGGGGAGTGCCTATGTCTCGCGTTCAGCAAGTCGAGAAGCATGGGCGCGAGCATATGGGTCGGACCAATTCACGGTAGTACACTGCCTCGTTATCTAGGGATGCCTGCAAGGGTCTGGCTTGTGCCACCTCATCGATCCGTGGCACCACGGCCCTCTAGTTCTCTTCATCATGCCTACTTCTAAGACCAAACCATCTTTATATATACTGGAAGAAGTGATCCATCCGCGTGTGCGACTTACGACTTGCAAGGTTGTATTCTCCAATTCAAGATAAAATTTTCCCTTTTGGGAGAAAGGCTGACATAAACTTTGATAAGTTCTTCTTATAAGTTGAATGAAACTTTGCCAGTGCTAAAAGATGTTTCTTAGCTCACGCAACGGTTTCACTTACTTATTTGGCACATTAATGCCTAGTTCTTTTGGCAGCTTCTGAAATAAGCTGGCCCCTCACCAGCTTATTTTAGAAGCCGCCCCCAATATTCATTGAAGCTGCTAATCTGATTAATCCTTAACTCAAAATGAATATGGGGAACGGTTTCTAAATAAGCTAGGAAGGGGGCGCCTTATGCCATAAGCTGCTAAAAGAACTGGGCCTTAGTACAAGATGCAGTTTACTACAAATAGTTTCCCTATTGATAATGTTGCAAGTTGTCAACAGGAGAGCAACTTGTGGTCTCTGAATTACAAATAATGATTAATTAATTATCCAATTCAGTTCCGTTAAATATAAAACCTCACAAAGAGACGCAAGAACATAAATTCAACGGACATTTTCTTCCTAACTACAGCCGTCATATACTGCAAGAAAGGCAACATGGTGGCCCAAGTCGCACATTATTCTGGAATCATGATATCAAATGTTAATGTTCAAAATTTCTAACATTTTAGAGTTAAATATCGCGAGTCAAGAAGAACTAGGATAAAAGAACAACACCATATTATAAGCACGGGATCCATATAAGCATTGATAATGTCTTTACCTAATTGAGTTGAAGTTGAAGACGGCGTGTGCTGCCCAGTTTGTGTCAGACTGGGTAGCTGCTGATAGTCGTTGTGGTATTCGCCAAAACCATATTCATTAGAAGTCCTAATGGGAACACCCTCATTCCACTTGTATTGCAGGGGTTGCTGTACAAGGGTTCACCTAAATCTTATTCCCTCCGTTCCAAAATAGATGGCTCAACTTTGTACTAACTTTAGTGCAAAGTTGAGTCATCTATTTTAGAACGGAGGGAGTATTTAACAGATGGCAAAATGGACACGTTTATAGTTGTAGCAAGATGATTACAGCGTGCCTACCACATTGTTTGGAACAGTATCCCCCAATGAAAGTTGATCATTAGGCACACCATTCTGCGCAGACTCTGCTGCAACTTCCTCATTCGGAGCAGACTCTGCTGCAACTTCCTCATCACATGGCCTTAAGCAAATTAAGAGGCAAAATGTCCGGTGTCATGTGGTAAAATAAAGTGAAGAACTGAGGGAAACATACAATTAGTTGGGCAAATGTTTTTCAGTTTGTATGAATGTTAAGAAAATAGAGAACAATGCAAAACAAAAAACATGCCTTTGAATTGGATCGGTATTAAGATATTTGGAGAATTCACAGGAAATGAAGGTCGGATTGTAATAATCGACTCTCAAGGCACGGTATGGCTTGATGACTTCCAGCGACTTCTTCCCAAGATCTACACCAAGCATCCATGTGACTTGGTCGGCACCCACCTTAGACATGAGGACAAGAGCACAACCATAAATGGTGAAGGTCGGGAAGCCTGGTGTAGTCTTGAGGTTTCTCACTCTGCATTTCTCAGTTGTACTATCCCACAGGTGAAGTAGCTGCAGAGCAAGTTGTGGTTCGGCTGATATGTCATCAACATGGAAATTGTACCCTTTTCTCCAATGGTTCCAAGAAATGCTCCTAAAGCCTGTTCGGATCTTCCAGCCATCAGGTGCACACTTAATTTTATCCTCCATAATGTCCTCTTCATGATACCTAAGGAGGTCATTGTCACTGATGGTATCTAGGAAATCAAGATAGGCCGTCGTCTTGAAACTCCTCATGTTGATAAACTTGGACCATTTGGAACAATGTTCGATCTCGATGAAGTCGATGAAACCATTGGGGAAGCCGGTGACGTCCCGCACTGACCGTGCTGCGTCATAATCGGCCAATGCTTGGCTTTCCGGGGGCTCGTCGTCATAATCAGCCTTGGGCAGCGGCCTGGGCATCGGGATGAAGCGGAGAACAGGATCCTTGTGAAGCACATCACAGACAAGAATGCTGCGCCAGAGGTCGACCCATCCTACTGTGCCTTCTCCAAGAGAGATCACCTTGTGAGTTAGCTTTGGCAGGATACCGGGAGGCTCCTTGAGCTGCACATGTTTGGTGCTCCACTCGTTTGTCTCTGACGAGAAGATGTGCAGGTTGTAGTGCCCAAGGTCCCGACCCAGGGAAAGATGAGCGACCAAAAAACTGCCATCGTCGCGGGATACGATGGCTGCGTGCCATGAGTGCCTGTAGGTTGGAGGAGGACACGGGACCGATCTGATGGTGGGCTTGCCACCGGAGGCAGCCCTGTAGACGAAGTAGTCGTAGGTGCTGGATGTGCCAGTTCTCAAGGGGAAGCATAGGAGCGCGAGGTCATTGGCGGAGGAAATGACGCGGGGCTCAGTGGTGCAACACTCTAGTACGCTGATTCCAGGAAAGTGGACGCAGAAGTAGGAGACGGCAGGCGGGTGGGCGAGACAAAAGGTGACCTCCAAGTCGTGGCCCGTGCTCGTCGTGGCCTTCACGGTGGTGGCGTTGACGCGGTCGGCGAAGTAGGCTCTGCTGTCGAGGAGGACCCAGGAGGGGTAGCGGGATGGGTTGGCGCTGGCGGGATCGACTGCAGGGGGGTGGAAGGAGGCGGGGTCGACGGCGGGGCGATCGTCGGAGGGGGCCGTGAAGGATTCCTCCATGGCTGCGGATCCAACAAGGATTTGGGAACTAGGGTTACATGCTTTGTAGTTTTTTCCCCCTTGCTGAGTCTGGTTTGTGTTTCTATGAGTTACGGGCTTAGCCCAGGTGCCTGCGTGTGCCTATAAATTAAGGCCATATGGCCATGTAAAAGTCAGGTTTTTGTTGGTACAGAAAAATACTGTATTTAGAAAAGTCATCTTATGATTGGCGCATATCTGAGTTCCTGCGTTCCATGATTTGGTTCGTTGATTGCATGTGTTCCGGCGACTTGATTACCAGGGCACGAGTTTAGTTCGGTTCTTGATCTTCAAGAATCGATCCTGTCTCCTTTTCTTTTCCATATACTTGTATTGGTTCCTAATCTCCGGCCATCTGCTAATAACTCCACCGTCGCCGCCGCCGCCCCTGTTTATCATCATTAGCATAATCCTTCCATCCATCTAGTCCAATACTTCCATATACGTGCACATCTTATCTGGTCTATTTTAATTCATCTGCTTCCGATCAATTCTAATCTGCTACTTCCTCCGTCCCAAAACACAAGAACGTTTTTGACACTAATGGGAGTAGCTCTTTGCGCCGGTGAAAGATCAGGGACACCCCATAAAATCGACTCGAAGGAGCTATTTGAGCCGTATCATGATGTGATAGATGATGCTCTTCTACGGCCCTGTAGATTTGGGAGGAATCGTTTTGTACCTCTACCTGGCGCAAATGAGCGTGCTTTGATACTCAAATCACTAGCAGGTTCCGGGGGAAAAAACACTCTCCCCCGGTGTCGATTTGGATGCACTAGCTCGCCGTGAGGAATGCAACAATCTCTCCGGTGCTGACCTAGCATCACTGGTAAGTACTTTCTGTGATTTTTTTCTTCTTCATTGATGAAGCATGGATGTAATTTAGGCTATGACCCAACGCACAAAGTGAAACCAGCAGTTAACATGTATGCTTCCTTGCTTCCTTGTTCAGATGAATGAAGCAGCCATGGAAGCCCTGGAAGATAGATTGGGGTCAGGTTTGGGTGAGTCGATTGAACTCTCGCACTTTGAGCTAGCACTATCCAAAGTACAGCCGTCAGTGTCAGAACAGGTGCAGGCCGACATTCTGATTGATAGCCTCTCGTTTTGCTTACCCCTTTTATGTAGTAGCAGCATGTGCATGCCTTACATTTTACTTTTGTTGGTGTGGCAGCAAAGGAAATTCTATGAAGCCTTGTGGAAGAAATACTATGCAAACTGATCCAACACCATGCATCTACGTTGATAGATCTGGCTATTTGTGGCTGGGATCCAGCAATCAAGCATACTGTTCCATATTAGAAATTGTAAACCCCGTGGTTCATTTCAAATTCTTATTTCAAACTTTTATAATCATAGCATGTACACAGCAGGCTTCGCAGGGCAGACCCCAAAAAAAAAACCGACGGAAACGAAATGTAAAATCCCTTAGCTTTGATTCCACATTGGTTTTTTTTTTTTTGTTATTTGGCATTTGGGGTGCCCATTAAAGTTTTGCTTCAAAATGTCTGGTTTGGAAGACCTCGATGGCGAAATATGTAAATGCTTTCAAATTTTGTTGTATAAGACTCAGTTTGCAGTTACTGAAATTATGTTTTGCTGAACTTACAATCTGCAGTTTGCGGTTGTTGCACTTTGCTATATGTAAATGTTGCACTTACTTTATAATCGCCACAAAAACAAGGATGAGTCTAGCGAGCAGCCGTGTGCTCGCTAGCGCTCCTCAGCTGAATGACACATAAAAAACAAGAAGCGTTAACTATATCATCGCATAAAATAATAGTATATGTTAAGTAACATATGAATAAATATGATATGCATAATGGTATCTAGTTAGCTACGCATGAGGTAATCGTTTATGATCTTCTATTGAGATATGCATCAAGTTTTAAAATGTTCTCATCCTTACTGCATGCATGTGTTCGTTAGCATGCTAACATTGCTTGGACTAGCATGTCTTATTTCATTTAGCTAACTATGCATGTTTCCACCCCCTTGCATTATTTTTTGTATTTGTGCTAGGTGGGACAATAATTTTCACCAATGGTGAAAGAAAGTTTTGACATGTGAGAGAAGTAATAGATTTTTTCCTGCCCTTCACTCTGTCATGATATCCTAACATCCCACAAATATGTATGTGAAATCACCGGGGCACTCATGTTGGAATAATGAAGGTACCAAGGCAAATATTTAACAATGGAGTGGCTTAAAAAAACAGTAGACATTAACTACCTCACCACTTATAATAACGATATACTGAAACATCATGCATAATGAGCATAAGGAGTGAGTGAATTTCCACATAATATGGGCAAGAAAATTATGGGTGGGAGATATCATGCGGGAAACAGGTGACGTGAGAAGCGGTAGTGGGACCCCCAAAGGATGACTTGTTCTAAATCATGTTAGCTAGGAGGATAATGTTGAGAAAGTTTAGTTATCAAAGCGTGTGTGCCTATGGTGTAAACGAAAATTCTTAAACATGCAAACACTACAACGACAAAAATAGGTTAAAACGACCGTACGGTTTGTACCATAGTATGATTATTCTTCTCAAACCAACTGGACTGGTTCGGAACATGTATATGTTTGCAATATCATGAGGAGGAACCATATGGTTTCATAATCCCGCATCTTATGTTTAGGTAATACATCCACTTATTTGTCTAAATACTCCCTACGTCCCATAATATAAAAGCGTTTTTTACACTAGTTCATATGTATGTGTAGTGTTAAAGCATGGATGGCATGCACTACAAGTTGACACTTGACATTGTCATGGCATGGATGCATATAGTGTTGAGCACTTTACTTGTGAAATTTCCTACTCCCTCCGTCCTTTAAAGAGTGTACTTCCAACTTTAGTGGAGGGTCAAACTATCTTCAAGTTTGACCGAGTTTGTGCAAAAATACATCAATGTTTGTGAAACCAAATAAGAGTATGATGATGAATATATATGTTATCATGAATCTAATGCTACTAATTTAATGGCGACTGTTGGTATACTGTTGTATAAATTGTTGAGTAAATAGGCAGTTTTTCGATTAAATTAATCCATGAATAAATCATGAGCATGACATGGACAGCGTTGATAACATACTGATTATGATCTAACAGAGCATGTACTACGCATATAGTAGAGACATCTACGCATACCGCTAGTACTGCTACAACTGAAAGAAACACGAGAGGGATAAGCGATGTATACCCTCCAATCGGCCACGCGGTGGCGGTGGCGGTGACAGCAGCCGCGGCATCCTCGGCGGCCTTCTTGTCGGCCTCGGCTTTCTCAGCGGCGGCACGGTCGGTGTCGGTCGACATGGTGATGATGAAGGTGATGCGGACGTAGATGAACAGAAGCGAGCAGTCGCGTAGTCGCTACCCAAAAACCTAATCGCCCCTCTCCCCGTACAGGATCCGGAGAGGCGTGGTTTCGGAGGCCTGCTCTCCCGTTAACCGTGTACGCGGTGAACGGGACGGAGTCGCCGGCGGCAGCAGCAGCAGAGGAACGACGTGGGCGTGGAGGCGGTTTTCGTTACGGCTAGGGTTGGCAGCGCCCCACATATATATGTGCGGCCGCGCGTGGAGAGACATGGGCTGAACCCACGTCCAAGTCGGTAGCCCACGATCCGACGTCTCAGATCGTGGCCCCACCTGTCAAAGACTCTCCGTTCCTGACCGGCAAAAAGAAGCGCATAGGAGTGAGCTCGGCTCGGCTCAATCCCGCAACCCGCGGCGCGTCGTGACGAGGCGTGGCGTGGCGTGGCGTGGCGTGGCGAGGCGAGCGGAGGAGGAGGAGTGCGCGAGGGCCTCATCTCTTCTCAAGCTCCAATAGCATGAGGGAGAGAGTCCCTTATAAACCACTCCAACTCTCCTTCCACTTCCAAGGTGGGACTAAACTTCCCACACACCTAGTGCCATATAACCCACATGGGCCCTTAGAGATTTTTCAGAAATTGCAATATGGGCCTAGAGCCCATCTCAGATTTCAGCAATCCCCCACCAGATCTCGAGGGCCCATAGTGTCCTCTGTTCCAAATACTGTTTTGATATACTAGTGTTTCAGTGAAGACCTGTTAAGGTTGAGCTTCACCTAGAGCAAGTAGCTACATTCCTTCACAACTGAACAATGGACTATGCCTTGAATTGTCAGTTTGGCGTAAAGAAGTTTCACCACATGTCTTACTAGTACTGGGCTGCCGAAGGCTGACCCCTCGGGTGGAGCATATAAGTCACACTCCTCGCCTATTCATGAGTTTACTAGAGATCACCCCAATCTCATAGACTGTGACTAGCAGTCGGGCTCACATAGGTGTGTTCCTCCAAAGATCGCTCTGTAGGATAGCATCTTGCTTATACATATAAGCCTTGGAACACATTAAGACAATAGTCATCCTTCCGTACAGTTTCCGAGAGTATTGCATCTCCAACGGAGTGGGTTAGTAAAGTTACTCTCCTCAGTTCACCACTGGCTTGTTTCCCCAGGTCCTACTTCACGGGATCTCCGATCACATAGGTTGGGTTACCACCATGGTAACTCATGTGGGTCTCATACCCATCTCCCTCGATGCACTATCTATCACTACACGTGATAGCCCTTTCGTAAAGGGATCTGCCAGATTCTTAGCCGTATGGACATAGTCCAACGCTATCACTCCGGAGTTTCTTAATTTTCTGACAGCTTTTAATCTCATTCTTATGTGTTTGGTGGACTTCATGTTGTCCTTTAAACTCTTCACCTTGGTGATGACAGTCTGATTGTCACAGTTCATAAGGATAGCCGGAACCGGTTTATCAACCAATGGCAAGTCCATCAAAAGATCTCGAAGCCATCTCGCTTCAACACCAGATGTGTCTAATGCCGTTAATTCTGCTTCCATTGTCGATCTCGTTAAGATCGTTTGCTTGCAAGACTTCCAGGAAACAGCGCCACCTCCAAGAGTAAACATATACCCAGTTGTGGCCTTCATCTCATCAGCAT